GCCACTGTTTTTCGTTAAAGACCCTATCCGTTGAAAATACAAATTTTTAACAATGGAAAGCTGAATGAACATAGAATACAAATATAAAGGAATTAAAAAAAATTCTCTGTCAGTATTGCACAAAAGCGAATTAAAACCCATATTTTCCGCAGCTCTCCAAATTACAGGTCAACAGGGGTCAAATTTGCCGCAGTTCAGCCTGTATAGCTGAGGGCTTAATTAATGCAAAGTCATTGTGAATATGCGTACTCCACATACGATGATGTCATCAATTCGATAGCTAGTTTTTAGGTCGACAACTCCCGATTTTCAAAGCTGTAGATTTCGTGTTTTCAGAGAGCTGTTACTCGTCTGACAGGCACTAACGTAGCATATAATTGGTATTAATGTAGTCTATGGCTTGTAAGCTTTCCTTTGATATGTAATTCATCTGTTTCATTTTTCACTTCTGACAGGGTCTTTAACTTGCTATCTGTGTCGCACTGTGAGTGGGCCACGTATAATCTGCGACTAAGTTCGCAACGCCTGCAGCCCCTGTCGGCGCGTTCATATCTGATACCATTTCCTGCACTCCAGTGGAGATATAGATTTATTGTAAAGTGATGATAATACTTTGATTTTGTTCTTTCTTTTCGTTGCATTTCAGTTTACTCATTACTTTATTCTTTTGGATAAGTATACCATGTATAAATGCCGCAGATATCATTTTTTGCTACGATGATAAACGGCGTCTTTAAAGATAAAATATGCTATTTTCCCTCAAAAATGATCTCCTTGGTGCACCACTAAAGAAGATGGTTGTACAGTGTGTTTTTATTATGTATCTGTTCAACCTTTTTTCTTCTATTTCTCTGGCTGTAAATACCGGGTCGATTCTTGCATAATCGTTTTACATAAGTTAATGATCATAATTACTTGTCATTTTAGATCATTTCAGCAAATTTCATTTTTATTAATTGATTCTATTATTATTATGACTTACAAGAGTCATGAGGTCTGGTATGATAAGTATAAATCATTAATTTAAAAATAGGTTAAAAAATGAACATTTATTAATTCCTTAACAATTAACACCATATATATTTCCCTTTAAACGGATTTCTGATGAAGACCTATGTATTTTAGAAGGGAGTTATGCGTATACAGATTATCATTAGAGTAACAGTTAAAAAATCATTCATTTTCTGAAGATGTTCTTTCCAAGAATTGTATCCCTAATTTTCGTTTAAATTATATATTATACGATAAGGGATAGGACTCACGATAGCTCCGTAAATAGCTACGGTAACTTGTTTATTTTTTATTTTTTATTTGATTGTTTGTTTTCTGTTTCCTTTCCTTTTTATTCTTTTAACATAAAGTCGGCTGCGAAGTCCATATAATATAGAGACTTGTCCCTAATCATGATTAGAGCATGAGATGATGTATTGCATCATTAGGAAAATACAATGCATACATTTGAATACTTTGAATACTTCGAAAAAAGGAAACTTCCTCTTTATGATCTTGGGACGATAAATCCTCAATCTCAAAAGACAACGCACTTTTGCACACATTTATTAAAGGAACATATGACAACGAAACTTCACACAAATTATTATCAAATCGATGCTGTATGAAACGCCGATGTGGAAACTAAAGCTTAACACTGACATTGCACTGACAATGACAAACACTGACATTAATATACCAGTGTTCCAAAGCAACACTAGTATAATAATGTCAGTGTTTGTCCTAATAAAATGCATTGCTTACTCCAACACAACAGAAGCTAACCGAAATTCAATGGAGATTTTGTACTTAAACATAAGTGCTTATGAAGTGAGTTAGCATCACACTTGCATTAAAGTCGATCATGTGTCGTCAGCCTGAACACAGCATTTTATTATCTCGGTTGAGAAGACATTATCAGTCATCGTAAAAGGATCTCTACATTTTTCCTCTGGAGATTTAGCTCCCTAAAAAGTTTGCTCACGCTAAAAGAATGATGTACTTTACACCATGTCCTGACCTACTTTCTCAGAACTGGAACACTCCCTTTCTCCTCTATCACTTTTATGTGGGTGTTATTCGTGTTTTTTCTCGTCTGTATTCTGCCCCTAGCTGGTTAATGTGACTCCCTTAAGAACAAAAAGCAGACAATTTGCTCGGCTGATGATAAGATCAATGACTATTATATACACACATTGCCACCAGGGACTATTTTCACGACAATTAGGTGTTGAAACACTGCAAACTTTCTTTGAAACGTGGTTAAACTTGCACGCTTACAACATTGAACCCTTAAATATATCGCGCATTAATTTCACAGAATTTCAATAAGCGTATATAGAGATAAAATTCAAAGTGTGTGACATGGTTTTTATTAGGGAGACACTTCGGGGGTGAAGAGGAAAGGTCAATTAACAATGGTTTTAAGGATTCTTTATATAGTCATACCTCCCGATTTCTAGCTAGCCATTCCATGTCTGCACTGTCTCATTTAAAATATATGAAGAGAGTGCATTAGAAGTCTATTCGTGGGCGGTAATGACTCCATTGTTATTGGTAACGTATACTGTTTTACGCTTTCTAAGGAGGGTAGACTTGTAAATGTTGCATAAAAATATTGATTGCCTTGAGTGTCGCCACAGCTATCTGGGTGTCTGCCTGTCCCTCTATTTATTGATGTTTATATCAGCCAGCTCTCTCAAAATAGTAATTCTAGGTCACAAGTTCTGATTGGTACTTTTGCAAGTTCTTCAATTTGCGATTATTGGGAATTTTTTTCATCATTCTATAATACACAGTTAATTTTTTCATTTCATTAATAAGTAATATAGAGACTTAATAATGGCATTGAATTTTAAAATAATCAACGACGCCTTTGAAGTAAAGCCACTTGATTTTATTACAATGACAACATAACAGTACTCGATTAACCTCTGGATTACTTTAAGTCTTTCTGGTAATCATGGTGGTAAAGCCCACATAACATGTTATTTACACTTGATAAAGATATTCGTTCTCGTCTATAAGACGTACGATTGTCTGTAATTTTAATACAAGTTGTGATACTTCCCCCCCCCCCCTCAAGATGTTTCTCTTTTCATTTTCGGAAAGAAATAGTTTACTGCCTTTTGATTCTATCCGATGCAGGTGGGATAGGTACGCGCTCACCCCCCCCCCCCCCCACACACACGCACACATACACACACACACACACCCACACGCACAGAGGCGCGCACACGCACGTACCCTTATGATTATATAAACCTACATGCATAGAGCAGTTTTATATTATCGATCTAATACGATTTACAGATGTAACAAGTAAAAAATAAGGTCGAATCGGCGAGCCGGTTTCCGAATAAAATAATGAAAAGCCACGTGGTATATTAACGTAATCTTTACTTTGGTAATCCCAATTCGGTTGACCTCGGCCTCCTTTCCCATCTCACCCCAGTCTACCACGGATCGAAGATCCGGGAATTTTCCCTTCCCGGCATCCCCCGCAGCCAAACTTCCTTTCTTCCTCTCCCCAATCACCTCTTATCACGAATGTGCCGTAAAGTCGGTCAGTCGACCGAGGTTCCAGGGGCTTAAGTTTTTTTTTCTTAATGTTCGACACCCCATGTCCATGGCCGAGGGGCAATCTCCTATCCCGGAGTTATTATTAATTCTGATGCGGTTCGAGCACCCCATCTTGTGTGATTTAAATGAATAATTTATATGGATCATCCCCCGGCACCAACGTTTGGAAAGAGGAAGAGGGGGGAGAGGAGAGTCTTGTCGAGATCATAAATAAAAAAATGACCGTCATGTTTGAATGTCCTAATTATTACCCGAATCGATGGATCGTGAGTGTTAATGATGATAGGTTGCCGAGATTCATTCACTAAATATAGCTGAATTCTACGACGTGGATGATCGTCATTGTATTTTAACCTTAGGTCAAAGAAAACAAACAGTGACTAGAAATAGATGATGGGGGTTCTTCTTGGCTCGTGAAGACGTACGAACGCTTTATAGAACATAATCAAACAGATATAACACCATGCATCATCTTGTTCTTCAGCGCTGCAATGACAGTTGAAATAAGTACATGTACTTATATCAAAGCCGAAGGCAAGAATTCCCCAAAGTTAATTTCGAAACATATAAGAATTAAATCTCTCCCTCTCCCTCTCTTTAATAAACTCGTCATTATCGTTTCTAAACTGTGATTGCCAGAGGTAGTAACTCTACTTAAAATGAAACGAGTAAGATTGCATTATTACTAATACATGTACCATTTTCATCAAGACGATTTAGCTCAACTAGTAACTCAAAGTTTGTTTGAAGGCTTGTGCCAAATTTGTAAAGACTCTATCGTCTGCTCAGAGCCAGAAGGTTGTGTTAACTCTATGTTATAAATATATGAATATATGACTTAAAGCCCTTCTGACCCCACACAGACGCTATTTATTTTGAATTTCTACATGGTGGTTACTCTAAGGGCACCATATATCAGGTAAATTGGCTAATTCACGCAATAGATAAGGATATGGGTACTGTTTTTAAAAAAAGAGTGAATTTTCACTCTATTTTCACTTTCTTTGGAGTGACGTCCGTGATCACTTGTTTAGGAGTGAAAATCGATTGATTTTAGAGTGCTCTCTAAGAAGAAAAGAGTGAATGTTCACTCTATTTTCACTACATTTTCACTCTCCAGAGGAGTGACGTCCGTGATCACTCGACGGAAAAAGTAAATAAAACGACAAATGAATGAAGGAAACGAAACAATATAAGCCGACAGATCATAATAGAAGGAGAAAGAAGGAGTGAGAGGGGGTTGTATCATTCTGTAAGCAAATGGTAAGCATGCACTCAGTGGCGCTTTTGTAGCGTATTATGTCACAACGCTCCACTCGCAGAACTGACGTGGCGGAATCTATCTAGTATTTTTGACCAATCAGGGAGGAGGGTTGTCATAACACTGAAAGTAGTGCGCCAAATTCACTAGAGAGCCGCCGTGTGATGGGTGCTACCAGTCAGCTCTGTCGTCTGTTCCATATAAATCGCCCTGAACAGCGTGCACAGATCAACAGACAGCCTGATAATCCCCAGCACCAGACGAACTCGTATCATATTTTCTACTCACCATCACTCGGCAGACAGGAGATTCGTTAACACCGGCTCACGGGCATCATAGCTGAGGTATGCCAGTTGGGTTGACGGGGGATAGCCCGACTCTCATCCCGAAGAATTTCCGTTTCAATCCACCGCAATACTTGGTGAACATTCCTGTCAGTGTTTAGTCTGTAGTCGCCTGTCACTCTTAACGATAACTGGAGTGCAAACAATCTTCCAGAGCTGCAATCAGCATCCTCCTTAAACGCAAAACTGTGAACTTGCAAGTTTTCTTTTAAAACTCACTCACCGTTAGCCTTGTGACTAACTGGTTCTTGAGCTTGCCGCGATCATTTACCATTAGAAACAGTTACAATAATGGCTCAACTGGTTGGAAGTTGGAAGCTAGTCCGCAGTGAGAGTTTTGAGGAATACCTGAAAGAGATGGGTGTGAATACCCCAATGCGGAAGCTGGCGACCCACATGCATCCTTCTTGCGAAATCAAGCGAGACGGGGATTCCTTCAGCATCAAAATGAACGTCCCTGTCATCACCATACACGAACAGGGGTTTACCATCGGCGTCCCCTTCGAAGACCTGCTCCCCAACGGCCTGAAGCAGATGACCATCGCCAGACTGGAAGATGAAAACAAGATCAGATTCCTGGAGGAGGAAGAGTCTGATAAACCACACGTGGTCGTACGCGAAGTCATTGGCGATGAGATGATCATGACTTGTTCCAAGGGCGATGTCAAATGTACCCGGATCTTCAAGCGGATCGAAAACTAAGCAGAGGAAGGAGATTGATCACCGCAGTCAGCTCCCGTATAACACAAGGTCCATTACTCGGACGACCGGAAACATCGCCGACACCCTAAATTGGTAAACCACAAGTTTAACTGTTATATAGCACTATATGTAGTCTAAAAAGTACATTTAGCTTCACTTCAACTAACAGTGTACGCTTTTACCACTAGTAATCTCATTTTATTAGTGGCTTCCAATACTTCAAGGACTCTTAAATTAATTTTCTTGTTTGGAAACCACAATGAGCCGTGTCGTCTATGTGCCTAGTGTATACAAAATAAACTGACGTCTACTAACACATGTTATGTCACGCCCGTTGCACACGAAGAATTATTCCGCTGACGCAGGACTGCGTTAAAGATTGACTCAGTCTTTGACGTACCATGAAAGAGTGAACGACATCACACACAGAGCAAATGAAAAATAACAGTTAATTGCTTTTGCGTACGGGCTAATTAGCTGCAGAGGCTTGAAAAGCGCATCTTTTGACGCAGTCGAACTTGGGTCTCGTGTGCAACGGGCGATCGAGAAATGGCGTTAGACGCAGCATTGTTTCTGTCAAAGAGGTCTTTGAAAGGCTATGCAGTATGTGAGTACATATTACATGTTGAATTCATGTTAAAAACCTATGAGAAGCAGCTGCTATTCACAACGTGTGTATTATCACTCTAATCTATATAAATATATTTGTATATTTAGAACAGGAATTTTTGCTGCAATTCGATCGACCAAGTTAACACTATGTTTGTCATTATGCCTTTTGTGCTTACGTGTGAATAATATTCCTGGAATTATCGGTGACCAATTTTTGCTCATTTTGTTGAGTGCATTGTGATGTTTTTTGTATGATTTTAAATTATAGTAGTGGCATTGAGATTATTGATCTGAATCATTCTGTACATTGTACAGAAGTAATTATAACGTCGACTTGTCAATAAAAAATAAAAAAATAAACGTCGAAACCACCAAAATAAGCTAATATTTCACAATTTCAAATTATAAAGTGAGAAAAAAAAATCAATATTGCTCAACAAATAGACAGGTCTAAACTCACGCAAATCACTTTCAAACGTTACCATATGAAAAATATTGAATCCAGAATTGTATAAATCATATATTCGGTGAGGGTAATCTTACAATAGACCTGTCTTTTAATAACTGATGGTTATTCTTCATCATGCTTTTGACGATGGTGCAACACGTGTCATTTTGTACTATGATTTGATTTCGCAATATCTGAATATTCTTCCTTTACATGGGCATGATAGATGTCATCTCAAGTTACTGCCAGACTTGTAAAAGATAGCGGCATCTGTTATTATCTAAATATTTTCTGTATATAAATATGTATTACGTTCATGTAATAAGACAATGGATGTGTGTCTCATTAATGCATCGTTTAACGACTTAATCAGCAACTGAAGTAGTTCAATTTAAGATGTTAAGTATGCTGTAAAGAGAGACTGTGTATTTTAGCTTCTCATTCATTATTATAGAATCAAACTAAGAATTTCATTAGTCTAACTATTCTTACCCGTTTCCTCATCCTATAAAATTACTTAAGATTATAAAATAAAACTTTTAAGTTTGTACCATCCGAAATATAAGGGTTTTAATCTGATTCATTGCACCCTTCAAAGTGCAAATCGCACATACACTCTAAAAAGTGAAATGTTAAATGTCAATTTAAAAGGGCCGAGGAGTGACCACTCTTTCAGAATGTCAGATTGTTTCTTTTAACCTGCTAGATTCAACCTTTATAGTGTTGGATCCAGCACGTTCAAAGTGTTAATCTACCATTTTGAAAGAGTGGTCACTCCTCGGCCCTTTTAAATGGTGATTTAACATTTCAGTTTTTAGAGTGTAGTCTTTCGGAAGGCTTAACTGCTGTAAATTGTAAGTTTAAGGATGCCAGGTGCATCATGCAAAAGTTGAAGCTAACGGATAATATTGGGCATTTTTAAGGGTTCTACTACTGTACCGTTTTAGGTTGCAAATATAAAACCTTCATTCTTTGGTGTCTACTATGAAGCACAATGTGCAAATGTTAATGATATGTAAATACTGATGATATGAACAAATGTAAAAGTTACCACTTTATGTAATAACTTCAGATTAAAAAACTAAGTGCACTCTGCTAAATTCAATCGAAGCATACGATTTGGTTTAAGTGAATCGTACTACCCTTCAGCGAATGTTTAAGTTGCGTAAATATTTCCAAGTAGTGTTGTCTACTTCAAAGAAAGTATAAAATCATTTGGGCAATTTCTTGACTTTATTGAATGAGGTTAACTATTGATTGTTTAGTGTATTGAGTATAGTGAGGTAGCAGTGGCAATAAGAAAAAGTGTACAAGCAGTTCTCTTTAAGAATGAACGTCTACACCGCAGCCGTCTGGAGTTTCACAATATGCATAAATTATGTTTCAAAATATACAGTAATAAAAGAACAACGAAATGTTTCAGCATCAACGTAACCATATGTTTATGTTTATTTTGTTCTTATTGAATGCATTTCGAGCAAAGTGCACTCCATAATTTTCAAGCATTGTGTTGGTAAACTTGACATTGTGATGAGCTCGTCAAAGAGCTACTGACCTTGGGGGAGTTCTATTTTCAGGTGGGTCTTAATTGAGATGAAAAACAGGGGATGCAATGTGCGACCACATTTCAATCTGGCGTGCGACCAGCGTATCTGGTATGGTTGGGAGACCCTGACATTTTATCGATCCGAGACTAAACAAAACAGACAAGCTCATTTTTTCCAGGTAGAAATCAAAGCGTTCCCTGTCCAACGGCTGTATCCCTGAATATGCCTTCCCCCTCATTCTATCTCCTCTCTCTCTCTCTCTCTCTCTCTGTTCATCATTAACTTTGGTGGGGAGGGGGAAAGAGAACAAACAAATTAAATCGATATAGTACCGTAGCAGATTTGAAGGTCAGAGGCACCCTACCGTCAAAGATTAATAATGTCAAGGAGAATATTGAGAAGAGTCATCCAAAGTTTGTTCGTGTGTGTGTATGTATGTGTGCTGTATGTGCATATTGTGTTTGTTTGAATACCACAGAGGAGTTTTCTTCAACGGGTGGAGTCGGTATAGCTTCACCCACTAAAAGATGCATGCACCTGAAAACAAAACAGAAGAAAATTTTTTAAAAAGTACACATATTCAATTTCACTACCAGATTAATAGGCCCAATTATATATTTCGAGATGATTTTATTTCCATCGCTCTGTTACTATGGAAATAAAGTAGTAAAATTACACATTCATTCAGCAAATTCGACTGAGACATCACGATGTTTGTCTGTTCCTTTTTTTTACATGTTTAAAAAAAAACACCTGATTGTAGAATATGATAGCCTTCAACAATCTGGAATAACGTTTATCTGTGCTGAGAAATTTGTGACATCGGATATTTTTTTTCTCTCTCTAGGGTCACATAAATCGAGGTTGAGGAAAGGCACGGATCGATAAGTAGGCCTCATCAAGTACGAGTTTTTTTTATTCGAAATCATATTTTGCCACACTCAATTACATCATGTATCAAAAACATACGGCGTATGTGCGCGCGTGAAAGTGCGTGTGCGTTTTTGTGTGGTTGTGTTTTTTTTTGTGTGTGTGTGTGGATGTGGGTTTGTGCTGTTGTGGTGATATATACTTTAAAATTGTTTAAAAAAATTATCGGCAATTATGTAGGAATCTAACACAATTTCATATTATTTAGATATTCTAAGGTCTCTTGTTTGACAATGAATCACCATATCGTTTTTTTCAATATTTCTATCTCCCATTTCGGCCTTCGCATATAGATTTTATATCGGATCAACCAATAAGTTTCATTAATATAAAAATAGGACGGCTCCACATTGCAGAGAGGAATATTATTTCACACTGTAGTAATGCATGTGTCGGTGAGGATATAGATTCCATCCAGATATTTACTACTTGTGTATGACGTGTTAATAAGATTAGTGGCCCGGGTAGAAAGGGGGTGTTCAGATATAGACCGCAATAAATCAAATTAAGTGACTGGCACCACGGAACTGGATCAACGGTTATATGATTTCATTATTATCTAGGACCTTAGATGACAACATGTCAATTCATGTTTTAAGAAGTGATAAAGCGATGTTACAGCCCCTCATGTTATACAATGTTGGTTCACTTGTTTACCATCAAAATGTATACAAACAAGCCCAAGGCGTATTACGTCAGCCAGAAATGTAATAACATATCGAAAATATCGGTTCGATGTTCTACATAATTTCTATTTCTGATCCGCCGCCTCGCAGTGGTGAGAAAGAAAAACATACATCTAAATATTATTACTACTGCGGCGGCGACATGTTTGTTTACAAAAATATCTCAATAAAAATATCCCCTGACATATTTTTGCTAAGAATCCGGATTCCTGATCGATACTAAAAAGACCAGAGACATTTCTATACATTTTTTTTCTAAGTTTTGATATCCAGTCTGTCCGGCGTAACAGTGATGTTGTATAAATGGCGGCACGGTTTACTAATGATAATGGTTTGTTAAGATTAAATGTTTTGTCTGAACGACGGAATAAGGCCTATAGCAGACGAGAAGTATGTTTCGAATAGATGCGTCAATCGAGTCTTTGACGAGAAATTTAGTGCACACACCAGCAATTCAATGTCGTCTTTGCACCGTTGATTTTGCAATCAACTTTTCTGCGATATTACGCGCACAAAGACCGCGCATGTCGCTAACGCAGTGCTACGTCAATAAAAACGCCTCGTGTGCAGCCGTCTAAGGGATGTTTTGCGTGACGTTTAGAAAAAAAGTCTGAACGACGAATGTGATGCGTTTAATGAACTACAAGGTTTCTGTAGTTTAAATACCTAATGTGGAGGATAAAATAGAAAGTAACATGATGATGGTTCGAGATGCTATTGAAGATCTTGTCACGTGGTTTATAAGCGCGTCTGGATGGCATCTTAAGCCGCAGGCCTAACGATCAATCGCTCTTTCAACGACTGCACACTTCCAAACAATAGTGCGGGGTGCAAATGTCAACAGGATAATGGACAACTAAATACATCCGTCTACCGCAGACAAGTAATCCATGCATCAGTCGAGACATAAAATTGCGTTGAAAGTAAAAGGAAACCAAAATAGATAGCGAATAGAGACCTGGAGAATGCAAAATGCAAATTTAGTCAACGATTGAACTGTCTGGCGGTTTAGTAGTGTCATTCACCACAAGTGAAGGATGATTTTTTTTATCAATGGGCTGAGAGGATATTACAGGTAATAACAAGTCTGACGTTGAAAGCCGAGAGATGAAAGCTTCTTCAAAGTTTTACGGTCTCTGATAGGAGCGCAATTGAACTTTCGGTTGGATTTTGGCGTCGTATTTTCATCCCTTTACTCTCTCTCTCTCTCTCTCTCTCTCTCTCTCACTCTCCCCCTCTATCTCACTCTCTTTCTCTCTTTCTCTCTTTGTATCTCTCTCTTTTTGTCTCTAGCTTTCAGCTCGCCACTTCCTACACATCTTCTCCCTTTTCGCTATCATGAACTCGACGTGTTTGTATGAATAAAATATGATTTCCATGAAACCAACAACCATTATGAAGGCTCTTTCACTATTACGGTTTCATGGAATTAATTTAAACGCGTTTCGGACAGTGGTATTCAATCATTACATTTAATTTCTCATAAACAACAATTGGTGTTATAAACAATATTTTCTGCAAGTGTTTTAATATCTACTATAGATGGTTGTTGGCTTACCAGAGCACTTTGCATCATTATAGCACTCAAACTTCCCATCGGCTTGTGCCCGTTTCAGAGTCAACCCCCCAATCATTTCGCATTTCACTACAACATTAAGGTGCGAAGAGTAATTGATTGTACTTCCATAACAGTGTATAATGGCAAGGTGAGATTATATGACATATAGAGAGTGCTTGTATAAACCTGTTCAAATTGTCTAGCAAATAAATCAATAACTGTGTCCTTCGTTGATTCCTGTCTGTATGTCATGGTGAAATCTTTTTCATTATCTGTTTCATTTTCTTTTCCCAGATATATCTCCATCATATCGTTCCTAATTTTATTGATATGTAATTATATTGATTAATAATATTTTTGTTATCCTTATCATCATCATCGTCATCCATCACCATCACCATCATCATCTTCATCATTGTCATCGTCATTCTTATCATAAGTAAATTATCATTCAAATATTTATAGGGCATAAAGACAATGAGAGGCAAGCAGGCACTATAACATGGAAT